ACCTCCTGCATAGCTGCACAGTCTGGAACAGTACGCATTTGATCAGCATGATCAAAGTTAGATAGTTTGTAAAACAATTTCACTCTGAATAATTTATTCTAATGAGTTAAATTGAAAACATGTATTTTCAGAGAAGTGGTTTTATTGCTTTTATTCTAGATACTCAAATTCTAACAAGATTACACAGCTGTTAAACAGTGGTTCAGGGGCATAATCTTGTAGCTGTGTATTATCTTGAGGTATTTATATTTTGTTTGATCTTAAGAAAGTTTATAAATCAGATGTAAAACAGCTATCATAAAGGTAAGATGTTTATTGTTAGACATTTAAAAAAGTCATTTGTAGTTGCTAATTTCAGGTTTGATTTGGGAGAAACAGGAAAGGAGAAAACCTTAACTAGAAAACAGAACATTATCTAGTATCTTTTAATCCTCACATGTTACAAAGATGAGTTATAAAATTCCAAGAAATTACCGGAAGTAAATGAGGTGAGGTTCAAGTTAAGAAAGCAGAATTCAAAACAGAAGATTGTTTTTATTTGGAAGTGTGCACCTTCTACAAATTACTCCTTCAAAAGATTGGTTTATTTCTTGTTACTGCAGGAAGAAAATATAACAGCAGTTAAAAAAAAACAAACTATTCTTAAGTAGTTGTACATCTTCATCAATGTTATAACTTTCTTCATTCTCTTCCAGCAATTCTTAATTTTGGTCCTTGTGTAACTATTTTTGTGAATCCCTCTTTGTCTCTCTTAGTTTCTGTCTCTGTCTGTCTCTCTCTCTGTGAACAGTAAGACATGACTTGATAAATTTTTCAAAAGACTAATGAAATCACTTTGATGCAAAGGAGAGGAGCTGGCTGGGAGGAATATAAGAAGATCTAATATAAGGCGGCCTCAGATAATAGTAGAACAAAATGAATCCAAAATGAATCCCAAAGGCTATTGCTTGTGATTGGCAAATACCAATCCCATCTGGCTATTGTGCTAGATAGTGATGATGGAAAGGTAGACTGCAGAAACGATTCAGCACCCTAAAATCCTGCATATTTCTTCAGAAAGGAATTTACTGCAACATTTTATTATATCACATAAGATGGAAGATCCAGATGATTTATGAAAATTACAAGTGATGGCTTAAATTTGAGCATATGGTTGAGCATTGATTGTTAAAGATTTGACTAATTTTCCATTTCTCTGCTGATTAAGCTGAACATCATGGTTTCACATTTGCAAACTATTTGGAAAACTAATATGAGTTTTCTGTTCTGTTGCTTAAATATTTACAATGAATATTGACATATGTTCTGGAGTCTAGAGTTTTAATCCACACTCAAGTTTCTTCAAAGGAGTATGGATGATTTGGTCAAATTTTATCTTAGAAGCTGGAACTCATCTCTTGATCATTTTCCCCCAGAGAATTTTGTTTATAAGGGTGAATTTTGCATTTTAATTAGTAAAAACATCAGGTTCTAATCTCTTATAAATTATTGGTTTGTCACCAAATTTTGTTCCACCAATATTTATTACTGTACATTATTAAAATTGACCTTTAAATATATAATAAAACTATGCATATTACAAAGATGTAACATACAAAAATTCTAATAGTGGAAAAATCAAAGAAGTGGATATTTGATTTACTATTTTGTAAACAAGTGAAATGAACACTCCTAGATAAGCTAAAAATGCTTTATAAAGTATGTATTTATCAATCTATAAAGGAAATATAGTTGTCTTTATTACAGACTTACAGTGCTTCAAATTTAAAAACATGATCATCATTTCTATGTGACTAATGATAAGCATGTGGATAAAAATTGTACCATTTCTAGGCTATTCTTAGGGAGGTACTTTATTTTTCTTCCTATAAAGATGTGATAAGTCTTAATTTTCATTGGCCTTTTTTCCTGAAATTACAAAATTGAAAAAACAATCTAATGAAAAGGACTTTGAATGAAGCAGGCTGTATTTTAAAATTGCATGATCTGATTAATGAAGGCAGAATAGAATCAAAGTTCCCTGAGTATGTAAGAAATAGACCCAGTATTAGAAAAAGCTCAAATTAACAGTAATGTAGAATAATTTGTCACTTTTTGTTCTCTGGTTTGACTTTTCTGTACATTTTTACCATCTCCTGTGTCTGTAAGCCTCTTATCAAAGCAGCATCCTACAAATTTTGCTGAGGATAAAATAAAATAAGATAGCTGTTTGTATTAGAGGGTTTTATTTTATAGAGATATTAAAAGAAAAATAGACCAGTGAAATAACTTAAAACAACAAAAGTTTCCACAGAAACGTATACTATTAACATTTACTAAAACAGCATATTATGGGATGGGGCTGGATTACAGAGTTAAAGGTGTTGTCTCTGAACTTAAAGAGGGTGCAGTTTGGATTTTATATCTATAACAAGACACTTTGGATCTTGGGTGAATTTCTTAGTCTCTTGAGGGGTAATAGTTGTGCCTCCTTCTAAGGATCTCTGGGTGGGTTAAAACTTACACTTAGTCATTATGACCAGTCTGGTGAGGACTAAGGGCATTTTTTATTTAGTTGGATTTATCAATAATTCATTTTTCTTAATGCTGAGACTTGCTGTGATAGTGCTCTGAACTTCTGGCAAGAAGAGAGTAAGGGGGGGCAGAGAAGAGGGGAGGGGAGGGAAGGGGAGGGAAGGGAAGGGGAGGAGAGGGGAGGGGAGGAGGAGAGGCTTATGAGTTGATCCTCTCTGACTGACCCATTTGACCCCTGTGATAGAACCCATCTTAACTTCAATGGCTGAAACCAATTTTCTGTATTGATTTAAGAAATTCTGGAAAACAGAAAGTAACTTTGAAAGAACTTTTAATGTACTTGCAGTTAATAAGAACTGAATAAAGTCTTGTGAAAAGACATCGTAAAGCAATCACCCTGGAGAGGGGGGTAGAATTCTGAACAATGTTTCCTAACTTATTAGATCCAAAGATGTAGATGGCAAAAGTTAAAATTATTAAGTTGTCTTTGTTTAGGACATCAGTGAAGTGTTCAGGAGATCCATTTAGCACATGTAATCCTTATTAATTTTCTGACATAGAAAGACTCCAAGAATTTAGAATAATGCTGTTTCTGATCCATACTCCCAGAAATTAACTGTCACCCCCATAGTATTGGCTGAACATTCCGATACTTTTTTCCATAAAACTCATACCATCAGCATTTGAAGAAAGATATTGGAGGCAGGAGAATTTCTTCTCTGCCGAATATCACTCAATGTATGTCAATAAGCAAATCAAGGAAGGCAGTACTGTTTGGATTGTGGTTAGAAGCAAACTCTAGGCATTTGGAATACATATTCCTCTAAGTTGCTTCTTTTTTTTCTAAGTTTCATTTCTTCAGATTTGTACATCCTTCATATCATTGTTACGAGAATTGTATAGACCTGTACATAGGACTTACCTATTACAATGGATAAAGTAAATTCTGTCCAGCATAGCTACTGTAATTATTGCTCATACATCAATGGTAAAGACATTCTCTGGCCTCCTGGCCCTTAGTGTTGCATTTTCAATCAAGGGCTATTGTATAATTAGGCATAAAAAATTAAGAGTGGCAGTTCACTCATGGTGTGATAGAAAACTCTAGTAAGACCATCTATAGCATCACAGATAAAATCACACACAGTCTTTCCAGTGACTGGAAAGATAGGACTAATGAGATGGTTTCTAAAACACAGCATTCATGCAGCTGTATTTCCTAAACTATTAAACAAGTTTGAGACAGACTTTTCACGAAGCTTATGTTTCTCATTAATAGCTAAGTGGATTCATTTCCATTGTGTTAGAATCAGCTTTTTTAAAAATACATTATTATTTTATTTAAAGAGAGAGAAAGTAGTCAAAGACAAAATAGATATTGACAACCATTATCATATTACATTGAGAAGATTTTTCTCTCTAGTGAGGGCTATTTTTACTTAACCGTGTCCTTGAAGTGACATTATTTTTTTCTGGTGAACATAGTCTGCCTGCCTGTCTGCTTTCCTTCCTTTCTTCCTTCCTTCCTTCCTTCCCCCCCCCCTCTGTCTCTCTCTCTTTCTTTCAGGGCTTATGTGCTGTCCATGAGATCTTTTTTGCACCAGGCTAGTGCTTGAGCAACAACTCCACTTCTGGCTTCTGGTGGTTAATTAGAGATAATGGTCTCAGAGACTCTCCTGCCCATTATTGTTTCTTATTGCAAATAAGGGAAACCATAGGACCTCAGATCGCAGCTAAGATTATAGCTATGAGCCACAGACATCTAGCTCTGCTTTCTTACTCATCTTAAAACATGGAATACTATCTCACTTTATCCATCATACTGAATTGAAAGAAAAAAAATCACTGTACACCTAGAATTGTATTCACCCAGTTGGCTGTAAAGTGAGAGATGGAAGAGGATTGTGTGCTTCTGGTGGTAGCTGGGCACCAAGGAAGACGGAGGAAGAGAAGGAAAAGGGGCTTCATGTTACAGGACTGATTCTTCTAATGGGGGAGGTGCAGGAAAACTTGGGGGAGGGGATCCTGAGAGGCCAGAATCACCAGAACACAGTTGGTCGGGGGTTGAATACCAGTGCCCTCCTAGGATGGAGGCATGGGATGAGAAGACAGCAGAGCAGGCCAGTAAGATGGAGAAGTGACTGTTTTGGTTGCTATCAATGCCAAAACAATTTACATTTTTTCTGGTTGTATATAAATATGATTGTATGATTGTTTTGTTTCCCCCACTTGGGGCCATGTGTTCATCATAATCTTTCTCCTCTTTGGAGGAATTTAGTGGGTACATTGAGTCTAGTGGAGTTCTAGAACATGCATTACAGACCTTCTTACCTTGCCTTCAGGTAAGAAGAAAATGTCCTAGCGTGTGGAATTCAAGTATTTCAGTCATCTCATTGAATGTTGCATGTGAATCATGTATGTCACAGAGTAATTGAGCCTGTGAGGGATTTCTTTGACTCGTATTTTTCTTTTTCTTATTTTGACAGGTTCCTGGGCAGATAGATCACCACTACACGAAGCTGCAAGTCAAGGGCGTCTTCTTGCTCTAAGGACATTATTATCACAGGTAAAAATATTACATGTTATTGCTCACAACACACCCATTTTTCAGTGAGCATGGAGCACTGTCATAACCAACCACTTTAAAGATAGCAAGATTGTTTGCATTTTACTACAGCCTTCTCATTTTAATACAGTTCAGGCAAGTCAGTAGTTTCTGGTTTGCTTTTGAATATCCTTTATGACTATTTTGTTATGATCTTTGGCCTAAGTGTTTTGAATTTCTCATACAGTATATTTGTTCAATGATACACATATTTAAGCAACTAGTAATTGGATTTGGGGATTAATTATTAAGCATTTTGAATATGCATACCTCTGTACAATGTGTGCAAATAACTGAAGATTTAGTTCAGTTATATAATAGCCAAAAAAAAAAGGAAGGGTAATCAGACCCATGGTGAAAGAATGTTTAAATTATGGTAATCTGTAAACAATGCGGGCAATAGAATTTACTTGCTCTTCAGATAAAGCAGAGGAAAAGATTTAAAAACAAAACAATATAGCAATTCCTTCCTGAAACTGTAAATATTCTGGGCTGTGTAGTTTGTTTTTGAGGTTTCAGCCTGATTCAAATGTACACCCAGTTCAGGAAGTTATAACAGTTTTTACCTTGCAGTATCAATGAGAATTAAATTTTCCATGAATGAGAAAGGGATGGTCTTGTGGTCATTTGAACAGTCCTGTCTGGGAATCCAGACACCTGGACCCCCGAACTGGCATTTAAGAGAGCTAACAGCACTATCTGAGCTCCATTTTCTCATCTGTAAAATGAAGATGGGTATGAGATGTCTCCATGGGAATGTCCGGTTCTGTGACAACCATGTGACTCTTTGGCTCATCACTTGATGATGGGGAAAATGAAACCTTATAAAAAAAAAAAAAGGTCAGTAATTTCGAGGGGGTAATCCTTCAGATAGGGTCAAGCAGTTCTTTGAGAGGAGAGCAGTTCCAAGGTATTTCTCAATGTGTATCCATGCTTCACCAGCTGGCCGGCCAAAAACAGTGAGAGGCTCACCCAGCGCCTTCTGACCCTGTCATCTGGTCTCTCTAGTGAGCAGCAGTCAGAGGCAGCACTCCAAACTGGACTACTGACTAAGAACTTGAAACTTTTAGAAAGACACTGAAGGGATCTTAAAATTTTCCACTTAATCGTCATAAAATTGTGGGAGTTTCATTTTTATGATACTTCATGTGTGTTCCAGTATTAGTAATCTTTCAGATTACTATTTGGCCATGAGACTATTTGGCCTTGAGATTCTTCCAGTAACAGTACTTCAGATGATTGTCAACTAATGAATTACTAGTGATATCAAGAAGGCAAAAGATCTTATATCCTAATATTGTTTATTTATTTTAGTCTGGTTCAGACCATACATAGTCTTTAGTTTCACCAATAAATAAAATTAACAAAGTAAAAGTTAAAGAACATATGCCCTCAACTATTACTTGAACGAAATATTTAACACATTCTAGGCCAAGGTATTACAGTACTTGAATAAAAAAATAACAGAATTATTTATATGAGATTTACATATTTATGGGTTAGAACATGATTATTTAATTCATATGTACAAAGTATAATGATCAAATCAAGGTGGTTAATGCTTCTATCTCCTTAAACCATTTTATAATTGTTTACTAACAAAATTTATGCACATATTTATGGAATGTTCTTGATACTCTGATACATATACAATTAGGACATGACCAAATCAGGATACTTAATATGTTCATGTCCTTAACATTATTCTAAGTCTAGAGACTTCCAGTTTCAGAACAAATGAAATCAGTGTATCAAAGAAATACTTAGATTGCTGTAACTATCGCAACACTATTCATACTGACCAACATGGAATCAATCTGGGTATCCTTTAGCCATGAATGGATAAAATGTGGTCTCTAAACACAAGGGAATAGTCTTCATAAAAAGTATGGAATTGGAGGATACTAAGTGAAATAATTCAGACATAGAAAGACAAATACCACATGCAAATTAATGCTTTATAGCAGTGGCTCTGAATATAAAATAGCATTTGCTTGAGTCTCGAAGAAAAGAAAGAAAAGAAAGAAGGAAAATATTAAATGGAAACCAAAACAGTCAAAAGTCGTAAAGGGCTAGTGCACAATTCACATAGTTTATCGTAGTTCACAAATGACTTTTAAGATCAACTGTTAAAGGCAAAGGAGTTTTGACAACTGATTTTGTTAGTATTTATATTGGTCATTCCTGGTAAACTGGAAACTGGTTTCCATGAGGTTTTGTGATCTTCAAAATAGCATTCCATAATAAAAACAAATGCTGATGGGGATATGGCCAAAAGAGAACACTGCTACACTGTTGGTGGGAATGTAAACGTGTTCAACTACTGTGGAAAGCAGCATGGAGGTTCCTCAACAGACTAAACATAGAGTTCCCCTATGACCCAGCAATCCCATATGTAGGCATTTACCCAAATGAACACAAACAAAACCATACTAAAGCTACCAGCACAACCATATTCATTGCAGTATTATTTACCATACCTAAGATACAGAATCAACCCATATACCCCCAAATACCGGGATGATGACTGGATGAAGAAAATATGATGTATATACACAATGGAATTTTATGCTTCCATCAGAAAAAAATGACATCGCCCATTTGCAAGAAAATGGAAAGACTTGGAAAAAAGTTTTTAAGCAAAGCAAGCCAAACCCAAAGAAACACAGGCTTCATGATTTCCCTTATTTGTAATAACTAGAATATGTCTATAGTATTCTGAACAGAGGATTACAATAGCTCAATAGCTAGGTGCATATAACCATATAAAATGAAGTTTATCAAAATGTTCTTTAAGAAATGGAAATAAGGGTTTTTATAATGTACTATTTGCAATTCTTTCTTTTTTTCTTTCTGTTTTCTTTTGGCTTATGGCCTGCTGTCACTGTTTTTGATTTCTTTTGTTTTTATATATGTTTTTATTGTAAAAATACTGTACAGAGGGGTTACATGAGTAAGGTAGTACATTTCCTATTGAGCATTGTTACCTCCTTTGTTTTTATCCTACCAACCCTTCCCTCCCCACCTCCCCAACTCTTCTCCCCAACCTCTGAAGTTGTAAAGTTCATTTTCACCAGAGTGTCTTGTACATCTCATTCTTACAATGGGTCAACCTGTATCCTTATTTCAGCATTTTGTTATTTCCCACCCCTTCCCTAAATTAGAAAAATGTATATACAAGTGCAGGGCACCGAAATCAAATACAGTGAAAACAGGGATTATACCGTTGGGGAAGAACATACAAAAGAAACAAAAAAATCACATAGAACATTATAGATGCATTAAAAACAATAGCAAGAAAGAAAAAATATTTGTATCCCTATTTTGGGGTTCATTTTGATTAACATAATATTATACGGTCATATATACATAGTTTTTGGACCTTTTCTGCCTGTCCTAGACATATGCTAGTTATTGCAAATAAGGGAAGCCATGGGACCTATGTTTCTTTGGGCCTGGCTTACTTCACTTAATATAATTTTTTTCTAAGTCTTTCCATTTCCTGAAAAATGGGGCAATGCCATTCTTTCTGATGGAGGCATAGAATTCCATTGTGTGTGTGTGTGTGTGTGTGTGTATAACATTTTCTTGATCCATTCATCTACTGAGGGGGATCTGGGTTGGTTTCATAACTTAGCTATGGTAAATAATGCTGCAATAAACATAGTTGTGCTGATAGCTTTAGTGTGGTCTTGTTTGTGATCATTTGGGTAAATGCCCAATCCCATTTGGGATTGCTGGGTCATAGGGGAGCTCTATGTGGAGTCTTTTGAGGAACCTCCATACTGCTTTCCAAAGGGGTTGAACAAGTTTACACTCCTACCAACAATGAAGTAAGGTTCCCTTTGGCCACATCCCCTCCAGCATCTGTTATTAGATTTCTTGATTATAGACATTGTAACTGGGGTGAGGTGGAATCTCAATATTGTTTTGATATGCATTTCTTTATGGCTAAAGAAGTTGAGCATGTGTCTATTGGCCATTTTTATTGCCTCTTCAGAGAAGTTTCTCTTTAAGACTTTGGTCCACTTATTTATAGGGCAGATGTTTCTTTGAGATATGTTGTTGGGGATTTAATTTTTTAAGTTCTAAGTATATTTTAGATATGAGACCCTTGTCCATTGTATGGGTAGTGAAGATCTCCCAATCCATGGGCTTTCTATTGATCTTGCTAGCATGTCCTTTGCCATGCAGAAGCTCTGCAGTTTCATGCAATCCTATTTGTCCAACCATTCTTTGATTTATTGTGTTGCTGGGTCTTTATTAAGAAAATTTCAGCCTGTGAAAAGGAGTTTTAGAATTTCTCTCATTCCTTCCTGCGATGTTTTCAGGGTTTCTACTTTGACTTTGAAATCTTTTATCCATTTGAAGTTGATTCTGGTGCAGGGTGATATATAAGGATCTAGCTTTAGTGTTCTACAGGTGTTAAACCAATTTTGCCAGCACCATTCTGTATCCTTTGTTCAACTGATTTGTGTAAGAGGAGGTGAATCACAGAAAAGGTGGGACAAGGGTGATACTCACTAGACACTATGTTGGAAATGAACTTCCCAACTTGTGGCAGGAGGGAAGTTGAGGGGGAAGCAGGAGAAAATGAGGGAGGAGGTAACACTTTTCAAAAAGAAATGTACTCATAACCTTACTTATGCAACAGTAACTCCTCTGTATATCACTTTTACGATAAAACAATAAAATATCGCACTCCCAAATGATGTTGGTGCTGATGAATTGCTATACTTTTGTGCTCACCTTTCAAAACTCTTTGTGTTGCTTTTAGGGTTATAATGTAAATGCAGTAACCATTGACCACATTACCCCATTGCACGAAGCCTGCCTGGGAGATCATGTCGCATGTGCCAGAACTCTTCTAGAAGCTGGAGCTAATGTAAGCACCTTTGCAAGCATTCATAGTTTCATATCTACTGACTGAGAGGATCAAATAAAATTTTCCCTTTTTCTTTCTCAGTTGTTTTCCAAAATATTCGAATAAAAATGAAGCCTTGAGTTGCCTCAGGGCACTCTAAAAGGGATTTCCTACGATGGTATGAATTGGTAACCTGCTGCATAAGCATATGGAATATTTAGGTTATTTTCTGCTTTCATGACTCTAAAGTAGCACTAGATGAAGGCCTTTAGCCCTATAATCTTTTCTCCTCTTTGGGAAGATTTTTTTCTTTAGCTAAATTCTCAGAAACGGAATGACTGATTTCACAATGTAAGTACTCACCATCAGCAAAATGGCTTCATCAAAATTCATCATTATTACATTTTCTTGTCTTCCTGAAATGTACCTCAGTGTTGAAAGTTCTTGTTTCATACTCATGAATTTCACTAGCAGCATACCCAATTCCTGTGAATTATCTGCCATGTCATATTTCTGTTTTTTTTTCTTAAAAATTTAAAACCATTTTATGGATGTGTAGGGGATAAATAGACTTTGTCATATTTATCCCACACATTTTTTCCAATGAATGGATCACATAATTTTTGAAAATGCATGAATAAATCTGGTTATTCATTCATGACTTATGAGTCTCATAATTAGATTTTGGGTTTGACTTAGGTCAATGCAGTTACCATCGATGGGGTGACTCCGTTGTTCAATGCGTGCTCGCAAGGCAGTGCAAGTTGCACAGAACTTCTTCTGGAATATGGAGCCAAAGCCCAGCTGGAATCCAGCCTTCCATCTCCTACACATGAGGCTGCCAACAAAGGTACCTTGGTTGTGGGATTGAGAGAAAGGGAAAAAAATCCTGGAAATGCAGCACTGCATGAATAACATTCTATTGGGGTCATGGTAGTGGCTGAGATGCATGTGGAGGTAGATATTAAGTAAAAGTAACTTCACTTTTCCTCTGTGTTGGCAGGTCACCATGAATGTCTAGACATCCTGATATCCTGGGGCATAGATGTTGACCAAGAAATTCCTCATTTGGGCACTCCTCTTTATGTAGCTTGTATGGCACAGCAATTTCATTGCGTCTGGAAGCTTCTTTATGCTGGTATATTTCCTTAAAATGTCTTTCACTCTGTCCATATATTTTAGCAGTTATTTTTTTAAGCTTCTTTGGAAATCATAACTCATTACTAAATATGTTTTACATTTTTGCACATTGGTATCTAACTAAAGTAGAACCTCATTCTTTATTAGAAGACATCAAAGTTCATTGATACATAATCTATATTTTGTACACATCACATTTACACACATTTGGTTATAAAATGAACTGTGGAACCCCGCTTTGTATAATAAAATACAAGTTCTTTCCCAGACTTCTTGTTCCATTTTACTGAAATGACTTTAAGTCTTTTTCCAGTTACATGAAATAACTCACTCTTCAAGGTTCAGATGAATGCCACTGAAAAATATTCCAAATTAATTGAGATCATAGCAGTCTTTCCCCTGTCTTGGGATCTGCTGCTCCTTTAGGGTGGGAACTATGTCCTCAACCCAGTGTTCTCATCCTATTATCTCTTCTTTGCAGCATAGTATTTTCTCTCATGTAGTAGGTGCTAAAATATACATATTTTAAGCAAATTATATCCATGGTATTTACTGTTTATGATAATTGATTGCTGGTATATTCAGATTGGCATTTCTACTGTAATCTCTTTATATATAACTCTTATCTTGGATAAGCCGCAATTCTTGTTCTTTTAAGCAGAATGAGTACTTCATGTTTGTTCTATATAGTGCCTTAAACACAAGTTCGGTTAGTAATTGTTGATAGGTTATTTTCTCCTCTAAATTGGGAATAACAAATATAGTTTTTGTTGTACTATTTTGCTGTTATATTAATTTTTCTACTAAAATATTTATAATGGGTTCAAAACTATCAAAAAGTCCTTTTATACATCATTGATTGACATTTTCAGACCCTGTTAATAAAATTGTAAGAATTTCTTCTAGTTTTACCTTGCTTGCAAATATTGTTGATATGCTTTTCCACTTGAATACCCAAACCTTTCTACAGGTATTTGTATCAATTACGTGAGTAGAAAGGTGGCAAGATGTCTATATATGTCTACATATGTCATATCTTGACTTGAGTTTTCCATGGAACTTCAGATCTCTATTTCCTTGAACTAAATGAAAAGAATAAAAATTATAAGCTGTTGATTAATACTAAAAGCTACTGCATATGAAGAAAAATATATACGAGTGTGTGAACAGAATCATTCACTGTTTAGACAATCAGTAAGATTACTATTGGGATTACTTAACATAAAAAATCCCTTTTAATTCTTTCAAGCATGCAGAGAAATATTTGAGAATATTACAAATATGTGTACTTTCTTATCTAGATATATGCATATATAAGGCCCTTAGAGTTGAATATAAGGTTTGAATATTTATACATATATCTATATATATTTATCTTGTATATTCGTGAGGAGTGCATAACACATGCATATAAAACAAATAACATTATAAACAGAGGTTCCTCCATATCTATCCTCATTGCCTTTCCTATCACCTCCCCACAAAGGAAACCAATTCATCTAGTAATTTTCTTTCCTTCACTCTCTATTGAAATGTAGGTGCTGATGTTCAGAAAGGCAAGTATTGGGACACTCCATTACATGCTGCTGCTCAACAGTCTAGTACAGAAGTTGTAAACTTACTGCTGGAATTTGGAGCAGATATCAATGCCAAGAACACAGAGCTTCTGCGGCCTATTGATGTAGCTACAGCTAACAGTGCAATGGAAAGGATACTACTTCAACACGAAGGTAAGGGGGAGAGATGGGCACATTCATAATCACTAACGTAAATTCGCCTGACATAGTGAAAGGCTGTGTTTGGACATGTAAAATAATGGCATGCAACTTGCAAGATTTATTTTGAAGCTTTTTCAACATTTATCTCTAAGCACTTCATCTATAATAACATCATCCTGTAATCCAGGTGCTCAGGTGGTAGAAATCAGGAGAATCATGTTTCAAATCCAGTCTGGAGAAAAAAGTTAGTGAGTTCTCCTATCCAATAAGCAGCAAAAATGGGCTGGGCTGGGGCTTAAATGGCGTGGCAGATGACACTTAGAGTACAAAGATCATAAATTCAAACCTAGTACCACAAAGAGACAAATTCATAATTTTAATTTTCACCATATCTAACCACTCATATCCCTTTGGTGAAGGATATTCAGCTTGTTTTGACACTGCATGTTATCTTGTTCTGATATAAAAGCCTGTTAACTTATTTTGGGAAACACATTCCATTTTATCAGGGCGTATGCTTCCTGTAGAATGCTGCAGACATGTAATAAGGAAAGATGGTCTCACTTCAGAAAAAAAATCTATTTTAAGTATAATTTGTTAAACTTGGTCCTGAGATTATAACAATTTTGTCGGTCATGGGGCTTGAACTCTGGGCCATGGTGCTGTCCCTCAGCTCTTCAGCTCAAGGCTAGCACTCTACCACTTGAGCCACAGCGCCACTTCCAGCTTTTTCTGATTATGTGGTGCTGAGGAATCGATCCAAGGACCTCATGCATGCAAGGCCAGCACTCTACCACTGAGCCACCTTCCCAGCTGTAACAAAAAAAATTTTAAGATTAAATATCAAATCTGTATCTGAGGAAAAGCTATAATTTTGAATTTTCTACTTTTTGCAGTGAATCACATTACTTGTGGTTTTTTATGCCAGTATGCATTTCTGAGGCTTTTTTAATGCAACAACAATTTTGCATGGAAATCATCTTTGTTGTATGATCTCATAAATCAAAGCAATACAAATGTATGTAGGTAAACTTCCTTAGTATATTCGTTATAATAGTTTACTACATGCCGAGCACCAGTGGCTCACACCTGTAATCCTAGCTACTCAGGATATGAGAGCTGAGGATCTCGGTTCAAAACCAGCCCAGGCAGGAAAGTCCATGAAACTCTTATCTCCAATAAATCACCAGGAAAGTGGAAATAGTGCTGTAGCTCAAGTGGTAGATCACTGGCCTTGAGCTGAAGAGCTGAGGGACAGCGCCCAGGCTCAGAGTTCAAGCCCCATGACCAACCAAAATAAATAAAAATAATTTTCAACAAAACATTATAAGGGTTTTGTTTTTGTTGTTAGTGTTATATTTCATGTATCTTATGACATAAAACTTTGTTTTGGTTAGAATTAACAAGCACCTTCCTGTCTTCTCTCGTAGCTACCCCGAGTTCTCTCTGCCAACTTTGCCGACTGTGTATCCGAAACTACATTGGGAGACCCAGATTGCACCTGATATCAGAGCTGCAACTGCCAACCTTACTACAGAATTTCTTACAGTATCGATAAGGTGGTAAAATAACTTAAAATTCTGTGAAAATCAGGAATTCCTACTTCATTTGCATAATGAATGCTTCATAATAAGGTGTAATTGAGCATAAATAAGTTCAAAGTATGAAATGGAGAAGCAGTGAAATACCTAAGGAGTTAGTACTGTTGCTTTATTTTTACTGTCTTTTTGATTATAATATGTTTAAATACCTACACATTATCACTGTTCTAATACATCCTCTTATTAAGGAAAAACAAGATTGGGAAATTCTCCATTTTGTGTTTATTCAAAGTCAAAAAATACTACTGATTAAAATTTTTATTTAATTATTAACTCCAAATGTATTATATTTTAAAAGATTTCTATGTCCAAGTAATAGTTTAAGAGTAAATTTTACTCCTGTCATTGGTTATCTGTGTTTTAATATTGACAAAAGTGATTACAATGTAGAAATGACAGTTAATGCTCTTTTTGAATAAAGATGATTCTATTTCAAAGCATTCTTTATGTTGAATGTACACTTGACATTCTAATGATCCATAAATGAAGAAAAGAAAGGAGAATTTCCCTTCCCCCCTGCAAAGAAACTCAAAAGTCATTTCACTGAAGTAAATGGGCCTGTGACAGAAGCTAGTAAGGTAGAAAGTTAGCTTGCCCTCTCTCCTGTCATATGCTGATATGGCTATTTTTAAACCTCTCTCCTCAAGAGTAGGTTCTTAAGGTCTGTCTTCAATGCTTTCCTACACTTACTCCTGGCTTCTTTTTGGAAATTGTCCATCACAACTAAGAGAATACAGACTTTATGTCTGATAAAGAGGCCCAGGGACCATCAGTCTAAATCAAATCTTTTAAAAATGGAAGACAAGTCTCCTGAAGTCATAGAATTTTCAAATAAAATAAAAAGATATGCCCCAAAGGAAAAGTCTTGTCATGAATTTGAATAGTGCTGCTTTGGATACCAGAGACATTCAAAATTACTTATGTATAGATTAAATATCAGCGCTTCATATTTTTTTTGTTAAATATCTTTAGGTAGTTGTACAAAGGAGGTGCCATACAACAAAGAAGTTTATGAATACAACATGTCTTGATCTGACCAGTGTCACTTTCTCCAATATACATACCCTTCTTTGACCCAACCCTGTTATCTATTAATACTTAATTGTAACTGATTGCATACTGTCCAACCTGTTTACGAACAGATTTATAGGTACATTCTATCTACCACAAATGGAAGGAACCAATGCAATCTTTGGGTCTGGCTTACTTCACATAATATTTTTTCCAAGTCTTTACATCTCCTTACAAATGGTACAATGTCATTTTTTAATAGATGAGTGAAATTTCAATGTATATATATATATACACACACACATCTATATTTATGTATATAATCCATTCATTGAGAGGCATTGGAGGGCTGCTTCCATATCTTGGCTAAAATGGTTGTTTTGATGGCTTGCCTGTAACCTTGTTTGTGTTCTACTGGACTAATGTCCAGGAGTAGAATTGCTGGGTCATAGAGTAATCATGCTAAATAGAAAATCAACAGAATAAAATTTTTACCAGCTATACAACAGACAATAGCCTAATATCCAGAGCTCAAAAAATTAAATCCTCAAAAATTAAACCCTCAAAGAAACAACAACCCAATTAATAAATGGGCTAATGACTTAAAGAGAGACTTAGAAAAAGTAGTAAAAATGACATTAGAAACATAAAGAAATGCTCTGGCTATAAAGAAAATGTAAATCAAAACACACTGAGATTCTACCTCACACCAGATAGAATAGCCAAAGTAAACTCTATTATCTTGTTGATAGGAATACAAGCTTTTTCAACTACTCTAGCAAACAGTATGGTGGTTTCTCACAAAATTAAATAGAACTACCCTGTGTCTCAAATTCTTTTTACACAAAAGTTCAGAGTGTATTATGTCTGCAAATAAAAAAGAAATATAAAAGTCCTTTCTCACTTTAAGTCATCAATAGTCCTCTTTAAGGTACACTCTAAACAATGTCAGAGAATATAAGTGGATAAATGGTCATCTTCATTATGTTTTGAATACCCACACTTAAGATTAGAGAATGAAGTACAACTATGGAAATTTTTGTTTTAGGAAGACTATTTTTACATATGCTAATCACATATTATCCTAACTGCAAAAAGGAATTCATAAATATGGAAGAGAATAGCTCAAAGGGAAGCCATTGTTCCATTGTTCATATGGTCTAGTTAACTAGTTGAGCTAGTTCTTGTATCCAGTCCTTCTCTCAGGTTTTATTGAACAATTTGCATTAAGCAATTAAACAGTTAAATCTTTAAAGCAAATTCATAAATCTAAGCAGTCAAAATGTACTTTGATGTGAATTGTCTGCTCCTGCCAGGGAACAAAACGTAGTAATAGCTCTGCAGTTGACACGGATGGATTAAGGTGAGCCAGCAAATTTTACTGTCTACAATCATTTCTAATGAGCTCAGAGACAAGACAAATGTAATTTTGACTTTGGTGAAGGTAGAGCTCCAAAATTCTTGCGATGAAAGAATAATTAGATAGCTTTAAAGGCAACATATTCACTTTTTTTTTTTTACTTTTGACATCTGTTATGGTTTGCATGTGAAGGGACCACACCAGCTTCCCTGAAATTCATGTATTGAAGGCCTGGTTATTGAGAGCTGATCCAATAATTGAGAGATGATTGGATCTTGAGGGCTGTGACTTAATCAGTGGAAAAAAATTCCACCAATGAAATTAAGTGATAGGACTACTGACAGATAGTTGAGATCTTCAGAGATGCTGCATATTTAAAGTAGATCCCTAGGGATGTGTCTTTAGTGGGGAGGGGTTATGTCTTATCTCAAGCTTCTACCTCCCACCTCTCCGTGTCTCTTTGTTCTTGGCTGCCATGACATCAGTAACCTCCTCCACATCCTTCCACCACCACATTTTGTGGATGGTCCAAAGCAGTGGAGCAGTGGAACCAGCAGACCATGGACTGAAAATTCTGAAGCCAAGTATCAAAGGCAAATTAACTCTTCCTCCTTTTCAGTTGTTCATACCAGATATCAGCCACAGCAGTGGAAACCACTACAAAACATTTTCCCCAGAGTGACACCTGAGAGAACTTTTTACCATGGAAGCCGTATGCTTCAAGGAATCTGAATGACTGAGACTATATAAGAAAATGGCTGTTATAACTGAATTTGTTTGCTCTGCATCATACAAGCAAAACTGATAAGGTCAAGTTCCCAGAAACATCCATTACTAGAGTTTTGTGCCAGAAAATTAATAAAACATGCTATTGAATCACTAATGATTTCCCAAATCTCAAGAAAAAGGATTGGATTCCTAATGTACATATGATATCAACCAAGATAGAGTGGTAAAGAGATTGCATATTGATTCAAGACAAACGTCATCAGTCAGAATAGTCAATATAGGATAGATAGATCACATTGTAGAGCAAGCACAGGCACTAAAATGTTGCCCTAAAATAGGAGGAGGAATGAGAAAGCAGGGCTTCTCTGCCAGAGTAGTTGGGGAGTGAGTTGTTTAGTATAACAGGCTAATTTCTTTTGTCATGGTGTGACAATGCCTAGATTAGGCCAAAGGAATAAAGACAAAGGAGAATACATTGTTGGCTGGTCTCCTCTTACCAATATGCAAAAGCTAGAATTAGCTAGATCAAGGTTTGAGAAAAAAAATGTTTGGCCAGGTATAGTGACTCATGGCTTGCAAACCCAGCCATTAAGGAGGCAGAGATCTAAAGGATCACTTTGAGGCCAACCTGGTCAAAACCTGTGAACTTCTATGCCAATCAACAATCTGGATGTTGTGTTATACATCCATGAATCTAGCTATATGGAAGCACAGGTACAAGGATCATGGTTTGAGATCAGCCTGGGTGAAAAACTCAAGACTATCTGAGAAGTCACAGAAGTAAAAAGGGCTGGAGGGATGACTTTAGTGGCAGAATACCTCTGCTTAGCAAATATGTTGTCCTGAATTCAAACTCTAATACTATGAAAAGAACTGAGAAAAAGCAACAGTTTGGTTCTATGGAGGGCAGTGATTTCAGCCCTTCGTCTCCCATTCTTTTGCCCAGGTAGCATCCTGTTCATTCCTTAGAATAGACAAATCTAACATTTTGGATATGGTTTGTCACCTCTTAGCTCCCTGGAACTTCAGTTGCTTGTTCAGAAGGCACCTTGAATGAGTACACTTTAGCAATTCCACCTATGGAAAGGAGTTAACCTTTTTATATTTGTGCCCCCAGGGCCCCATACCCCTCTACTTATTAAAAGGAAAAACTTGATTATCTATTCCTTTCCCTAAAGGTGGTGGCTGCTCACACATTGATGGTAAGGTGGACAGGATGTTTTGTTTTGTTTTTATTGTTGAGCTGTACTCCCACATGGAGGAAGTGATACTTTTGAGTAGTCCCAGGCTTTGTCCCTATCTATTCTCTGTCCTGACCCACTAGCACACTTGGACATATGTCCTACGATGGGAGACACTTCAGCTGCTGAGGTGCAGTGATGGTGTGCACACACAAACACAAACCATATTCTCTTATAATAATTTTATCCGTAATTTACTTGGGTTCTTCCAACTGCCTCTATCTTTTGTCTTGTCAGATTTGTTTCAGATCTCAAGAAGAAAAAGAAGAATGTTTTTGATCTTTAATACTTCAACAGAGTAGCTTATTCATAAAGCCCATTTATCTTAAGCAGGAATTCACAATTTATTGAGTTTTGTTGTACAGAAACAATTCAGTATACTTGGAAGTAAAATATTCCTACTACTTAGTTTCAAAATTAGTCAAAACTAATTTTAGCAGATGAACTATCAAAACGTCCAAGTCAATGATTAACTCTTGTAATTTTTGGTCTGTTATGGGACTGGAACTGGGCACTGTCTCTGAACTTTTTCACTAAGGCTAGTACTCTACCACTTTGAGTCACACTGCCACTTCCAATTTTCTGGTGGTTAACTGGAGATAAGAGTCTCATAGACTTTCCTGCCTGGGCTGGCTTCAAACCCTAATTCTCAGATCTCAACATGCTCAGTAGCTAGGATTATGGATGTGAGCCACCAGCACCTGGCTTCTTATAATTACTTTTAAGATGTTGATTCCAACATTGGAATATAAAATATTCAGTAATATAGGTAGATACATTAAGATCTTATGTTTATAGTCCTGTTTATATATAAACACTTGAAATTTGTTTGTAGTTTGTTGAATTCTCATGCCTTACAACATTGAAAAGATTAGAAGGTGGTCTTATGGTTAAAAGTGACTTTTCAATAAAATTATAATCACCTTATAAAGTATACCAAAGCATTTCAGTGAAACCAATTCTGAAAATTTGCAGTCCTATGACAATTACAAAACTAATATTGTTAGAACCCCTAAGATCTTAAATTTAAATGCATAAACAAAGACAGTTCAGTGCTAGACCTAACACGAATGATGGAGAAAATGGAAATGCACGTACTAGTGTTTTTCTAGAACCATCTATGTGAGGTTTCTCATGTTTCTGTACATATATGTGAGCCCAGACGGACACTTCTGGTTCTGATAGTGTTTTTCAGAAGGTTTACATAGAGACAGAAATGAAAGACACTTTTTCTCCTGACAGAACACAGGTTTGCCTGGTAAAAATCTTCTTCCCAGGCAAAGATTGTGCGGGTTTTCTGGCAGTTTCGAATAAAAGTCTGGAGTTTCCTAAATTTAAGAATCCTTGGCGGTGAACGCATGGGGTCAGAACTTTCTCTCTGGACCACTTGACAGCATCCTGTGAGACCCTCGGGACCTGCCATGCAAGAGGAGCTGGCCAGAAGGTGGAGCTCATGCCCTGAAATGAGGTTGGAGCTTCACAATGGCTCTCCTGGGAGTATTTGTCTTCTGCAGGTATCCATGAAGCTATCAGACCTTTTTCCAGTCTGTCTCCATGGGAAGTACTTTCATACCTTTTGTATTTCTTGGCAGTGATACCTTGTATTTTAATCTTTTTACCTAATAGTCAAGTAAATGACTCTCAGTGAAAGTTATCCAAATTTGAACCCTTTCCTGGTGCACAGTCATGATGAAAGATAGATTTCTCTGTCTCTGTTAATGTATGCTGTACATATTACCTAAAATTGTAATCTGAATCACTCACTTTTTAAATAATAGATGTATTTATCATCTACTGTCCCTAAGTAAATGTCTAGGTTGCAAAGCTTGTTAATGTATTAAAAGCAAATTACAAGCCATGTGTGGAGAGCCAAGCCAGATGTGGTAGATTGCATACCTGTAATACTAGGGACTCCAGAGGGAAAGAAGGCAAGATCAAGAGTTTATGGGCAGCCCAGAAAAAACTAGTGAGATGGTGTGATTTTTGTCTTAAAAATAACATCGAAACAAGTGGACTGGGGATATAACTTAAGTAGAAAAGCATTTGCCTGATATGCACAAGGTCCCAAGTTTAAGCCCCAATAACCTCCCCCCACACACGCACACATACACAAAGACACACACACACAAGCAATTACAGGTTAGTATCCATATACATAGATGCACGGACAGCCATACAAATAATGGAAGTTGTTTACTCCTTTAGAAATCATTGATATTTGAACCTCTGTTTTATATTGCTGCTATGATTTCTCCCAGTGGTTCTATGCTTTGAGAAATTTATCAACCATTCCCTATGGAGTGAAATCTTTCCTATCTTTAGTTATATATTAAATATTTAGGTAGACATGAGATTGGATCTACTGGAAGAATGATATTTCTGGCTAAAATTCCTTTGATTCTCCTACATGCATCAGTATCTTGTGGGGCAAATGGCATTCTCTCTAAGTACTTAATGGCAAGAAGTTAATGTAGGAAACTTGATTAAACAGATGTTGATGATCTAAAAAACTCAAATGGAATAATTAAGTGAGTGCAGAAATAGAGGCTGCCAGAAGCAATTACCAGCTCTGTGGAGGATTTTGAGCTTCTAACAACCCAGTACTTGGTATCCATGAAGGTGGTCAGTTGGTGCTGAAATTTAGAAGCATGGGAGCCATGCTAGAGCAAATCTGAATCCTAGCCTTCTCAGAGGGGCAGCTTCTGAGTTGGTAAAATCCCTGGAGGAATATGAAGAGACCAGGCCTAAGTGCTAAGAAAAACAAAAGATAGGCTGGAACCAGCTGCCACTGTCAGGTGAAGCTTTGTTGCTGTGGTGACAACAGTAATGATCATGAAACAGAAGGCAAAACAGCAAATCCCTCCTTCCTTCCTGCTATTGGCACCGGTTACCAGATCCTTAGCAAAGAAGTCACATTTCAGAGTTCCAGATCCAGCATGACAGAGCATAAAAGAGCGCATTTACACTTAACCATTAGGACCATTCATTACATGGAGGAGGTGGAACTCTGCAGCAGAACTGTTCATAACTAAACCCCAGTTGATAGCCTTAATCTCTTTGTTACCACCCAAATCTTGGGTTGATCTTTCTACTTAGGCTTATTTCTCAAAATCTAATTTATACTGAATGAGGAATACTGTTGCATATTGCCACAGATCCTATATATATTTGACTAGTTTATTTAAACCTCCAAACAGCCCTTTTAGGTTTATCCTCTTTATTTTCCTATTTTACAAATAATAGAACCAGTCCTTTAATTAGTTAAAAATGCTGCCTCATAAAATCCTCTGAGGACACTTTCTAGACTCCCTCATATCAAATTGATGCCTCATTCCTTGTCCTAAGGTTTTACCATGGCCAAATTTTTCAGTGTTCATGACATGTTCATAGAGACTTGCATCTCTCTGTCGCCTATTAATGTTCAAGGGTACAGACCCTGTATAAAACTTCCTGTATGATTAAAACTTCAGTATTGGTGTTATCCAACACTGCCAAAATAGATCTTGAGTAGGTTATACATGGATAGTGTCAGTGAGTTTACTGCACTAAAACAGCCATGTGTGGCTAGTGGCTGCTATACTGATCTAGTACATTGCTAGTTTATGACAGCTCCTTGTAAATGAATTATTGCTGAGACGCTTCATCATGCAAACTAACAATACTTGGAGAGTTTCACTTCTTTTTTGTTTTTAACCTTATACAAATACACATTAATTTACTTTATTAATAACCCATATATGAGTAAACATTTGAAAATTTTCATCATGCCATTAAGATTTGTCCTGCTTTATTTTGTGTAATCTGCATGCCACATTAAGTGTACTTTTACTGTAAAATAAGACTTTTATAATTTTCCTTCCATTAATATCTAATTTATAATTTCTGTGCCAACTGTGTAATCAGATTTCTCTATAATTCACTGATAAATTCAAAATGTCTTGGTTTATGGTAAGAACTCAATAAGTTTTTGTTGAATCACGCAGACTAGTGTAATGGGAATAGACAAATATGCTCCCAACTGCAAGCTAAGCACAACTAATTCATTTTACTAAATAACCTTTCAGTTACTATCTTTTTCCTTGTGCTTTCCTCCTTCCCTCCATTTCTTCATGCAAGGGAATTCAACGAGGCCTTTATAGGCCTAGGTAAGATCATCAGGCCACTTTCCTTATCTTGTTGGCTATGCAGTAAAGGAACATCCAAGACAGCAAGGGGTGTAACTCAGGAGTCTAACAGAAGCATACCTGGAAATAAGCAATCCCTTCCAAAGACTCTTATGTTAGCATATACATTCCCAAGCACACCTGTGGGGCTTTCATTGACTCACTCTCCCTAGCAGGACTGTAGTAGATTAAAGAGTAGCTCAACAGCCATTTCTTCATTTGCCTGGCAAAATTAATACGTCTTTATTCCTTTTCTCATTATTTGTGATTTGGCCTTGATTTCAGGTGACTGTCAGGGTTTAAGAATTTTATTTTCCAGACAATGGTCATGTGGATACTTACAATGTCAGTCGTGGGCCTTGCGAAAGTACCAATACAGGCAGCTATTGGTGGAGAGCCTTTGAGAAGTGTATCCATCCAGTTCTGTACCAAATGACTTCCCTGCCTCAGTCTACCCCTTTTCCTTCCCCACCCCTGTACTAGTAGGGCATCTTTTCCAAGAGCGAAAGTGTAACCTATGAATTGTAGTTAAATGTAGATTTTATACACGTGATTTAAAAGCTAATAGGTATGTTTGATTTTAAAGAAATCTTCCCTTACAACATAGTAAAAGACATCTATTCCTTCTAAGTTTCAGAAAACAAAACAAAACTGTCCTGTCCCTGCCAGCTTTACCACACCACTTTTAAAATGCTTCATCGAATGGCTGAACACAGTATGTAACAAGAAATACAAGGGAAAAAATTCCAAATTGGCTGTGAGTCCGACCAACGACAGCTGGGATCGGAAGTTCTGCCCAAGGTGTAAGCTCCCCACATTGCTCAGACCCGGAAACTGTTCAGGCTGGAGATTCCTGCCTCTAACTCCCAACGCTCAACCGCAATCAGAAGGGAGGCCACGCCCCTCACAGGCCACGCCCCCGCGGCTGTTACCATAGAAACTCAGAAAGCGCCATGGCTGCCGCTGGCCGGGAAGGGGAGTGTTGGCCACAGCCGGCGGCAGCCCTAGAAAAGTCAATCTCACTTTCGACTCTGCGAAGGAAGTCAAAGAAGTGTTTGGTGTATCCGCACCCTCCGAAGAGCTCGCGCCTGCCCCGATGCATCCTGCGCTGGCTTCAGAGCCTAGATCTCAGTTTCTTTCCCAGGAACATCAGCAGGTGATGGAGCCAGCCAAGGCCTAGCCCACCGAAAAGGCCCACCCCGAGGCCTACCCCCCCGGAAAGGCCCACCCCGAGGCCTAGCCCCCCGGAAAGGCCCACCCCGAGGCCTAGCCCCCCGGAAAGGCCCACCCCGAGGCCTAGCCCACCGAAAAGGCCCACCCTCCCCTCCCTGCCTGCAGGGCTTGTGCGCCTGCATGCGCCCCACTTTATATTCCAATCCAACCCCCCCCCCCCAGCCTACTCCCCACACAGGCATACATACAGAAGTACACACCCGCCTTAAGTAAAATATGAAACCTTTCCTTTGCTTATTCAACCACTGATTACATTAATATAGGATTAATTAATATAGTATTAATATTAATATAAATTAATATAGTATTCTTTGAGACTAAAAAAATCATCTGAGAGGGGCAAGGCTCTTTCCTCAGGTAGGATAGGAACTCATGCTTGCAGGTTATGCTCCTATGGAACTGGCGTCTATCATCAGGGATTTTGTTGTTGTTGCTTTTAAGTTGCTGCTTAACTGTAGTCGTCCTGAATGTAATATCAGTTAATATTTGCTCTGAGAATGCAAACAATTCCATAAAAGAAAATTAAGACCATGCGTCTTTTACACAGGAAGGAGTCTAGTTGGGCTCGATTTGGTATGCCTGACAGAGATGTGCCCAAGTTTTCATTGTGTATGTAAATCACTTGGGGATGTTGTTACAATTGCTAATTTGAATTCCTTTAAAGTACACTAAAGGTTTCAGTGTGTATACAAATCTAACAAAATGCTATGCCTTGGATCCTTCTCAATCACACAGAAAACGTTTTGTTTGAAAGATATTTATTATAGGGATGGAGATGCTAGATGTCAATTGTAAAATTACATTGTTTAACTTCACTATTGCCTTTCTTCGTTGCTATGGATCAGGGATTTTTCAAATGGCTTCCTGATTGCAGAAATATTCTGTATATATTACCCCTGGGATCTTAAAATAACATCCTTCGAAAATGGATGCTCTTTAAAAGTCAAGTTGGATAATTGGGCACAGATCGAAAAGGTAATATATCTTTTGCTATTGACTCATAATGTGCACGTGTGTGTGTGTGTGTGTGTATGTGTGTGTGTGTGTGTGTGTGAAGAGAGAGAAAGAGAGTGCTTTGTATGCTAAGATGTTGACAGTTTGTTTCCATGTACTGCAAACTTGTAAAATGCAACTGTTCATTCCACAAGATGTCTGTGGTTCTACAAGAAATTAGTTTGTTATCAAACATATTTGTTACTATTAATGTGGTATAGTACCATTGTTTCTCCACTGAAAGATATGTATTTTAATAACTAATGTGTTAAAACACATGGATTAACTAATGTGTTAAACAGATGGATTAAAGTGAATTTTTAGTAATTAGTGCTTATGACATAATTGCTTATGCTGAAAATATTTATTTCTACTATTAAAGTTTATGGCAAAAAAGAAACTTAAGTTACCTGCAGAACTAATCCATGGGACAATTCATTGTAAAGCTGGAGTACCTGAAATATTGATACAAGAGGTTTACACTTTATTAACACATCGAGAGTAAGTTGTTCAATTTTTCTAGTAATACAATTGAAGAGAATTTTCTTTGGATGACACTCGTGAATGAAATGTGACCTGTCACCCTTTTCTTATTTTCAGAGTGAAAAGTATACAGGAAGACTATGTGAATTTCACAGACTACAGCTACCAGATGAACCTACCTCTGGTTCCAAGGTCTACAGTTTCCCGGTCTATTAAGGATAACATTAGGCTAACTGAATTATTAAGCCACCCCAATATGCTCAACAATGAGCTGAAAGTAGAGTTCCTCTTCCTTTTACAAATGTTGCAAAGAAAATTAACCAGACAGTTGAATCCAGGTAAGTTTTCCCTGGAAGCAGCTGAGTTCTTTCAAACTCAAGGTGATATTTTTTTTTTAACACAGAGCAAAGAAAAACTTGCCACGCCGTGACCCCATGTCTACTTCTGTCACTGGCTAAAATGGGAAAAGACAATTTTTATGCTGGCAATAGAATCCTTTATTATTCTTGCAGTGCTTAATTCTTTCTTTCCTATGGTAGCACAAGATAACATCTGGCATAAACACTGAATTTTAGAAAAAAATGCTTGCCAATTTATTCAGGTAAACTTTTATGGGAAATGCATTTACATATCAACTCAAGTAATCCAAAAGAATGCAAATGTTTGAGTCAATCAGGATTTATGTTTTTAGAAAAAGCCTGCAGATTATCATGCCTCACTCTAGGTACTAGAGTATGATCAGTATTCTTTTCTGCTTTATTGCTGTGTGGATGGAAGGACAGATTAGAGAAACTCATGGCAGCTTTCCACAGGGACAATGACATAATTCACAATTCCAAGCAGATGGGCTACCTGACTCCTTCCTAGCATTTAATTAATTGATTAATTAGTGGTTGGATGTGGGACTTGAACTTAGGGCCTGGGTGCTGTCCCTGAGCTCTTTTGTTCAAGGGTAGTGCTCTACCAGTTTGAGCTATAGAGCCACTTCTGGTTTTCTGGTGCTTAAATGGAGACAAGTCTCAAGGACTTTCCTGCCTGGACTGGCCTTGAACCATGATTCTCAGATCTCAGCTTCCTGAGTAGCTAGGATTACAGGCCTGAGCCACCAGCCACTCTGCCCCACTTATGAGTCAGAATCTCTACCTCACACTTAGGAACTTAGGGAACTCTTGGGTAGCATACAAGTTATTCATGAAATGAGAAAGATGTAGGTCCCTAGGATTTATTTCCCCTTTGAACTCTTATGTTTTTGAAGGAAAATTCGTCTAGAGTGCTCAGAAAGGAACAGAGCCCTGCCAACATTTTGATTTCATTCAGTCTTGTGAGAATAAACTGCAGGACCTAAATTGATGATTTGTATACAGAAATTTATTTTTAATGACCATTGCCATAAATCATAAGATGTATGATAATTTGTTATGCTAGAAATGAAAACAGAATTAAAACTTCGTAGTTTCCACAATGACATTATAATCACCTACACTGAAATTGATAAAGTGGAACCTTTCCCTTTTAAGATCTAAATTCATCTGTAACTTCCATGGAGGACAAATTGCTTCATTACCACTTTTTGAATGGTATGTTCTTTTTCCCGCTGATTTGTATGCCTGCTCAGGTTTCAAGTACCTTTGAATATATGAGTCTCTTTCCAAATTCTCTATTCAACTTTGCCTACACAAGAACTCCGCTTCAAAATCCATGCATTTTTAGTGTTGCTCTGTAATTGTTATACTTCACATAGTCCTCATATTTATTCTTTGAAGGATGTATTGTAAATGACTTTTCTATTGCAGCAACTTTTGTTATCATGGATTCATGATTTCTGTCTAACATTGGATCTGCATTAATAGTTCTCTATTCTGAGATTTTCTTCCTCCCTTCTCCCTTTCCCTACTCTCTCCTCCCTCTCCTTCCCCTTTCTCTGTCTTGCTGGAGATTGAACCCAGTGTTAAACATGCCAGAAGCAAACGCTCTACCACTGAGCTGCTAGTGACTATGGACTGACTTTGTTTTTACTTTTGGAATGAATGTGTTTGAAAGACTTTTCTGGTTTCAATTTTGAAAATTTTAAAATTTCACTCTCCTAGGATAACCTAGAAATTTTCTCCCTAGGATAACCTAGAAATTTTCAAACACATATTAAGCTTGGTCTAAACGGCTGTCTTTATGCTTAAAGCACAAGTCTATGAAAGTACTGTGATGGTGATCACTTAAAGCTACCCCACATTTCACTGTAATTCTCTTGTTGTTCAGCATTCTGGTTCTGTCAGGTTACCACCCTCATTCTTAGTCCATTTTTCTTATTGTTGTTACACATTTACCTTTGCTTGGGGGTAACCTGTATCAGTGATCTCATTTTGAACACCCCTTTTCCTTAGCCACAATCACTCTAGTCTCCGGTCCCTGGACTGCTAATTGTAATCATCTCTTGTTTATTGCCATGGTAATTAATAGTGATAATTAGAGTTTTAGGAATTTGACTGATTTGTGCATCCCTCAGGGGGCATGAGTGATAGGTAGAAATTACCTTAGATTCATCTTCAGGCTCCAGTGAATTACAGGTTAGGGAGTGACCTTTTGGAGGCAAAGAGAAATTGCCTAATTATCAGATTTTTATATAATCAGTTGAACTATGGGAAATGTGGAAATAAGTTTGTCACTAATTTTAGAATGTAAACAGGTTTACAAAATGAAACATGTGCTGTGTGATTTGCTTATATGAAACAAAGACACTGGTAAAACTAACATATGACGACAGCAGTCCTAAGTGTTTTCCTTTCTAGTTAATGTCCAGGAAAGACAGCAGAAGGTTTTGGAGCTCTGGCAATGTATCATTTTGTGATCTGGCAGATATATTTCAAAACTTCATTGGCATAAATTAACCTCATGAGTATTACACTTATTTGTATATACATTACTGAATAAGAATGTATCAAAAACTAATAGGTTGTGGGTATGGGACCTAGCCTGTGGTCCCAGTTACTCCAGAGGCAGAGATAGAAAGATTATGGTCTGAAGTTGGTCTGAATAAGACAACAGATGCTATATGTAAATAAACAAACAAACCCCCCTAAAAGCAAAAGGGCAGGGAATATGAACTAGTGGAGCACTAGCCTAGCAAGTATAACGTCCTGAGTTCAATCTCCAGTGGTTGTTTCCAAACCAATGCAACAACAAAAGATAACCCACCGAAATGAATAGAAACATAAGAACATAAAATTACTACTTTTAAAGTGATTTTTAAAAATAATTATTTTGAGCATCAAATATTTTGAGCAATGTGGGGAAGGGGCTAGTCGGCCTGTATTTTCCCATTAGTCTTGAGAATATGATATGATTTGATAACTTGTTTAATTTTAAGGTAATGGCATCTTATTTTTTATCAGTTTTTATTGTGATAATACTGTACAGAGGGGTTACAGTACAGGAGCAAGGTAATGAGTACATTTCTTATCAAGCATTGTTGCCTCCTCCTTTATTTTTCCCCTACCATCCCTTCCCTCCCACCACCACAACTACACTCCCCTCCTTCCCCTGACAGAGCCTAAATTGTAAAGTCATCATGCCTATAATTTGTGGAGGGGAAGGGAAAAAAACAAATTGTTTAAATAGGGATACAGGTGGACCCATTGCAACAATGAGATGTACAAGACGTTATGTCGAAAAACGAATTTTACAACTTTGCTGGGGGTGGGGGGGTGAGAGTGGGAAGGGAGGAGCAGGGGGTTGGGGGCGGAGATGGGAAAGGATGGGAAGGGGAAACAAAGGAGGAGGCAACAATGCTTGATAAGAAATGTACTCATTACCTTGCCCATGTAATTGTAACCCCTCTGTATGGTATTTTCACAATAATAAATAATAAAAATAATAATAATGGAGCCAAAAAGTAACATTTGTGTTTGCTTGGTAGCATGGTTTGAAGTGAAACCAACAGTGGGAGAAATTACCCTTGATCATCTTCCGGCCCCGATCCCTGGGCACAGATCTCATCCAAGGGTTCTGAAGGAAAGAGCTACTCCTGTTTTATGTAAGTTCTTGTTGTAAATGTTTTCTCTTAAAATGGGTTATTTTACTTTGTTCAATTACAGTTTTTTAAAAAGAGTTAGTATAGAACCAGCATTATTCTAAAGTAATATTAAATTACCACTACTCTCCCAGTGCATATTTTCTACTTCTAAAAGCTCTCACCCAGTTCTCATTTTGTCTTTAAGATGTTGAATCTGAAACAGGAAACTGTGGTTGGAGCAAATTTCAGCTCTAAGAAACATGAAAGTATTGGGCACTAGGACTTCCCCATCTGTTGTATGACAAGAAGCTACTGGTTTAAAGCTTGTCACTTGGAAAACATTTCTATTACAGCAGCTGTAAACACATGGAAGAAATTCAGCCAGTCACCTGCTTTTGAATAGCTCACAAGTCATGGATGGCTTTTTACATGAAAGTGATAGGAAACTTAAGATTCTGTGCCCACAAACAACAGTGCCCCAGCAATGCATGTTTGCTTTATGTCCTGTATATAGCTGCTTTTACATTATTATGGCCCACAAAATAACAATTGGCAGATTTAACAAGAACATAGGGTAATATAATAATTTTAAAGACATATTTAGGACACGTTTTTACTAAACCATATTCATTGTATATCTGAAATTCAATTTAATCTGGGTGTCTTATAACTTTATCAGACAACCCTATCACAAAGTCAAAAACTTTATAGAATATGAGTGTGCCTCACTGCTGAAGAGTTCATTTCCTTTGTGTTACGAGTGATTTCATTGGCTAGGGCACATTCTTTGTTACATCAGATCTAACAGTATAATGTTAACAGATGTCTTTTAAAATTATTATAATTAAAAGGTGTTACAACTTTGAAGTCAGTTGATAAGTATAATGCTATTGAATATAGTGCTGAGTACATATATTTATATATTTATATAATGAGTATAATGCCAATACCACCTTTACACTTAGGAGTTTAATATACTGCTATGCATTGTAACTATTAAAGGATGAGACATTTTCCAAGCTGTTTGGCCACATATTATTATCGTATAATTTTTCTTTGTTCAATGGCCTTTGTAGTACTATTGTTTCTCAAAGCATACTTTAGAATCTTCAGGCATAAGCCAGCCTATTGAACCCGTTTGCCTCACCATAGCCCTAAAGCATGGGCATATAGACCTTAACATGGCAAGTCCCACACAAATGAATAAGGAAAAGACAAATCTCTGTAGTTACACCTTCAGATCTTCTGTTAGTAGTATACGCATGAAAAACTCCATCTGGGTAGAAATTGAAGCCAGGGCAGAGAGTGAGCGTGAAGTAGGAGTCATGGTGGGCATAGAGCCATGGCAATGAGACTTCAGATTTTATTTTTCTCACTTGCTTATTTCTTTTGCTTTATGGCTAATTGGATTTGACTGCGGATAGGAAAGGGCTTTGAGACCTGCAACCAAAAGCTGGAAGGGTGGTAATGAGTCTCAGCATGGCTTCCTTCCTGTGTAAGAAAAGATGTAATGTACCAAGAAAAGATGCCAACTATTTGAATTGCTAAATGATACTTCACATTTTTGTTATCTTTTTGGAAAGTTTTGAAAGCTCACATTAGTGTTCAGAAAATCTGTATGCTATCATTGCTACAGAGCAAGCCTCCAAACACAATGGGTTTTTGCTTTTATAATTTTAATCACGTAGTGCTATAAATAATTCCTCCTTCATTCTATTCTCTCAGTGGTGTCATTTATGTGTCTCTTTCATACCAATGATCTTTCTTTTCAAAATGGGAGATGTGTTAATGGAAAGCAGTTCTCACTGGACAGAGCAGACCAGAATAGGATGGTGACATTTATTATTATTTTACTTCTTTCAGTCATGTTCCAGATACTTGAGATCTCTCAGTCTAGGCCCGCAGAGAAATACTGAATGCTGTGAATTCATCTTGGTTAATTATGTGGATGAGAATAATTAAGATTTTTTTTCAGAGTTTGTTACGTGTGTCCTGTTTCAGTTGTTTTTGATAAAAGGTAAGGTGATGAGTTTAGGTCCGTAATCAGAAAGGTAATGGAAGGAGAAGAAGAACACTGGATGGTCGACTTAATTTTTCCAATTAAGCTTGAACATCACGGTGCTGAAAGCACAGGCCATTCATCAGAACATCCTCTAGTTACCAAACAGAGAATCCTGCATTAATTGTCAAGTAGGAAAATCATGTTTTTTTTTTAAAAGTCTTTTAACTCTTAAGTCCTTCTAATTCTTATCTAAATCTAGTATTTAGAAAATTATGGGCCAATGGGACATAGATTTCCTAGCTGCCACTGGCCCTCACGTTAGAACTCAGTGACCTAGATATAGTCTGGGTGGCCAGGGTGGATGCCTCAGAGTAATGACAGATCCAGAAACTCCATGATGAATCAGGTATGTTTGCCAGACCCAAGTACAACATCGTGCCATGGTTGCCTGAGCTGCTTTCTGAAGCAATTATCTAAAAATATTCGAGTCATATTCAGTATCAGATGCACCAAAATAAGCCCTGGATATTTTTAGGCATTGCTGATGACTTTTCAAGGTGGGTGACATTCAGATGTTTTTATATCCATGACTACTAGAAGACATGATCTAAACATTCTGCCTCACTGGCATTTCTCTATGCTCAGCCTTATTGTTAATCATTCTGTGTGTATTAGTATATTGTGTATATTGATATATTGTAAATACTGATATATTAACATGGATGTAAATATGAGTTGCATAATTTTTTTTGTTTAAATATCCCAACAAAAACAGATAATGCTGGTGGTCCACGTAAGGAAATTCAGGTGAAGCAATCGGGAACGCATTCGTGTACTTCTCTTAAGAAGCCTGTCATAAACATGGAAAAGGAACTTTGAAAATGCAACTTGCCAAGTGGCTTTGAAGAAGTGAGGCCACTATCTTTTGTCATATGACAGTGGCAAAAATCACACAGCACTGGCTGTTTCAATAGTAGATAAATTAAAAGTAGTATCTGTCCATAAGTTGGCTAAAGAATATTTTTTCAAGTTGATCCAACAACCACTTACTAAACACCTGTTGAAAATACACAATTAGCTAAATTAGTATAGTATGGGCACTCTAACGTTAAAGGTACAGTTAAATGTAATTCTCCATAATGAGTGAGTGGGTAATGATGGTGAAGAAGAACAGTCATGTTTTCTTGAAATGAGGGTTTGGTGTTAAGCTTCTCAGCTACTTCAGTTTGAAGCACTTACCTGTTGCTGCCATGCTCTATGCTTCTGGCAAAAATAAAAACAGGCTGCTATCCTGAAAGACTAATTATCTAATTAGACTTGGTTATTCTACTTTACTATATGCACAATATTCTTCCAACTGGAATTGTTCATGTTCAAGACTATGTCATTAACAGTCTCATTTGACTTCTGAGATGTCAGTTTTCAGCCATACTTGTCATTTTTTTAAAAGGTCAGACATTTTATGTGCATTTCTAGCTCCAGAGACTTCCTTGTTATACTTCACAGTTTCAGATAGATAGTATTTAGGAAGAGAATTGGTCATAACTTCCCGGGAATGTGTTCAGAATTCTATGTTATCTGAGTTAAAGAGAGCTAAATGAGGAGGTGATTTAATAAAATGTAGATAATATACCTTTTGTCATGCAATGTAATGAGACTATTTATAAAATACAAGTTTGTAAACATAATTTTGGCAGTAATGGGGTTTGACTTTAGGGCCTCACACTTGCTAGAGCACATGGTCTATCATTTAAGCCACACCTCTAGTTCTTTTTCTTTTTTTAATAAGGTTTTATGGGATTATAGGCATGCACCACCACACCTGTAAGAATACTTAGCTGATAAAATACAGTTGTTAGGAACAGTTCTAAAAAGCAGTACTGATAGTTGTGGAAGTGTTGCATAAAGAAGAATTACTTTTGTGAATAATGGAATAATGTTTCTTTGTTGTCTTGGTGTTTTATTCAAACTCCCAAAAGAGCTAATCATCATGTCATGACCATGGTAAATTCCTAAGACTTCTATGGAACCTACTGGAAATTGTGGGAAATATAAAATAGCCTGTAGGCTTCATTATGTAACTAATTAGTAAATAAAGATGGCAACAATGGTCAAATGGGAGACCTGAAGAGCCTGTCAATGTCATGTGAGCAGAGGCCAGCACTGCAGAAGTGGCTGCAAAGGATCTTCACTTTATAAAGGATTTTTGACTGAAAGAAGCAATGATGTTTTCTAGAAGCTACACCAGACTCTACAGCAGTAGAACCTTCTCAGTCATCTGGCAGATGTCCACCATGGGGTCAGAAGTGACTGTAATATCTGGTATTAGTTATTAAGCATTCTAGCACTTTTATTAATTTTTGAGTAAATTGTATTTTTATAGTCTGTGCTTTTATTAATTTTTTGTCAGTCATGGGTCTTGAACTGTGGGCCTGGGCGCTGTACCTGTGCTCTTCAGCTCAGGGCTAGAGCTCTACCACTTGAGCCACACAGCCAATTCCAGATTTGTGGTGGTTAATTGGAGCTAAGAGTCTCATGGACTTTCCTGCCTGGGCTGGCTTTGAACTGCGATCCTTAGATCTCAGCCTCCTGAATAGCTAGGATTATAGGCGTGAGCCACAAGCGCTTGGCTAGTTTCTTATAAGTAAACAATCAGCCTTTAAACCCAATGAAGTGATTTTCCTAGTTATTTTTTTCTGAATATGTTAACAACTGAGACTTTTCTTACCCATGAATTAACGCAACATTTATGCAGAATTAGTATTCTCTCAGTATTGGTTTTAGTGATAAGACTTTTGTGTATCTTAACAATTGACTCTATCATATCAGGTTTTAGAAGCAGCATTTATTAAGATGTAAGAGTAGCAATACATATGTATATATAAATCTAGGACAATGACAATGCTGTTATAGCTCCATAATACACTATTACATTTAGCCTGGAAAGTATATATTTAAATTACTTAGCTACAAATGTCTCATTTATTAAAAGTTGACTAGAAAGACATACTTTTTATTGCTAAATTACCTTCATATTAATAAATTGGCTAGACTAGGTTTTAGAAAATAATTGTGAGGCTTTTGCCACATTTACCAAATAGGGTAAATTTTCTTGTTATAAGGACAAAAAATACTGTCTTTAATGCAACTGAACATATCTGGGAAATTTTATCGAAATATGAATATTTATTTTGACTAAAATAAAAGTATATATTTTCACAAGACATAGCTCATTTTAATGTAATTTTGTAAGCCACATAGCTTTTATAAGAAAAATATTGTTCTATTGATTTAAAAATAATTGTCTATGAGAGTCGTCCTTCATAAAGGTATATTTAAAGCAGCAAAATACTTTTTTGCACATTATTATAATCTGGATATCTTCAAATTAAAATGAATTTGTACTACTTTTCATGCATGTCAACTCTGAAAGAATATTTGTATAAGTTAAATTTTTGTTTTTAATATGAAGGCACAATTTATAAAAATTGACATTTCAAACAATGTATTCATCATCTATTAAGAATGAATAATCATAATTAACATAAAAATATAGAATATTGTTGAAGCCTAGTAGAATTGTAGCTCAATCAATTAAACTTAGAATTTAGAAATTAGGTTGCTCTTTATTACATTCATGTGTTAGAGTTATATGATTTTTTTCTTTATATTTGATATATAAAATAGTATCCTGCATTCATCAAAATACAGAAAGTAATGCTTATTTTACATAAATAATTTATCTTAGTCTTTGAAGTATTTAAAGCACAATAACAGCAGTTTATATATTTATTTCTAAAAACAAAATTAAGAAAATTAAGAAAACACTACCATTTTTAAGTGAGAGGATTTACAATATATTGCCAATTAATAGAGAAAATTTGTTATAGATTATCATTAAATTACAAAATCTTTGATACATTTTTAGCCACAGTGTCACTGAGTTGTCTTCTTCCTAAATGTAGCTATTACAATTTATAAAAGAGACGTTTGTCTTCCCTTAAAATTATATATTTTATTTTTTGATGTTAATGAATAAAATTTACCAGTATTCCTCACTTCTTCCCACCTTGGATCCTTGTACCAGTGTTTGGCCCTCAGACAACCAAGATTAAAGTAATACAAACCCATAAAATCCCTTTTAAAAATAGGTATGCAAGGAGAAATATCATCTTCAAAATGGATTGAGTCGTATTCCAGTTCCTAAAGGTGAAAATGGATTCACCTTTGCCCACATCAAAGCATCATTCAGTGAGATAGCCGATTTTCCATCTTCAAGGAAATATACAGGGCCCTGGAAACAACAAAACGTTGGGAAAGAGAAGATGAGTTGGTAATTTGCAACGCCATTTTAAACTTCCAGAAACAGAGTCACTGCAATGAGAAACACCTAGAGACTTTTTTTTGGGTGGGGGGCGTCCTTCGTGGGGCTTGAACTCTGGGCCTGGGCACTGTCCCTCAGCTCTTCTGCTCAAAGAGAACACATTTGAGCCATAGGGACACTTGTGGTTTTCTGGTGGTTAATTGGAGATAAGAGTCTCCCGAACGGGTTGGGAACGTGGTTTAGTGTTAGGCTGCTCACCTCGTATGCACGAAGCCCGGGGTTCGATTCCTCAGTTGCATATAAACAGAAAAAGCCAGAAGTGGAGCCATGGCTTAAGTGGTAGAGCGCTAGCCTTGAATAAAGGAAGCTCAAGGACAGTGCCTGGGCCCTGGGTTCAAGCCTCAATTAAAAAAAAGTCTCATGGACTTTTCTGCCTGAGCTGGCTTTGAACCATGATCCTCAGATCCTGTATCCTCAGATCATGCATCCTCAGCCTCCTGAGTAGCCACAGGTAGCCAGACCCCAGGTGACTTTTAAGCAACTAAATGGAATTTAAGAATATGAGAATAGTTTGGTTTGTTTTCAATGCTGCTAGCTAGAGAAATATTTTCAAATACAATTGTATTATACCACTATTACCTGATGTCTAGCAAAATATAATTTTACAATTTAAGTTATATACGTTAATGCTATCAACAATAGTCATTATTAGTTAATTAACTGCCACAAAGAAAATGTATTTTGTAAAGGTCTATAGCCTAATAATAGATTTAAATATAGTCACTCCTTTAATCATGTAGCCAATGTTGACATAGTTGGAGAAATTCTTGAAGCCAGGATCTTTGATCTTGCTGTTTAGAAGATAATAAATATATATATATATATATGTATGTATATGTTTTGTTTTCGGTAATGGGGCCTGAACTCGCCCTGGGAGCTGTCCCTCAGCTCTTCAGCTCAAGGCTAGCACTCTACCACTTGAGCCACAATGCTACTTCTTGGCTTTTTCTGCTCATGTAGTGCTGAAGAATTGAACTGAGGGCCTCATGCATGCAAGGCAAGCACTCTACCACTGAGCCACCTTCCCAGTCCATAAATGTATATTTTTATGAGCCTTTAAAGAACTTTATATTTATTCTCATGATTTAAAGGATATTTATACTTTATCTGTATCAGCTATTGTACATATCCCGAATAACTATGCAAACAATATTACCCTGGAAACACATGGCTAAAAGACCATGAAAGCAAAAATTTCAAATTTCTCAACTAGATTATAAATCAATCATAGTTTCATTATGGTATTAAAAATATACTTGTTGTTAACAAATTAATTTTAGATATTGGGAAGACTATCACAGTTGTAGTTGAATACATTCAAATTTGTACTTGGAATTTAGTAATAATAGCTTACATACATTAATTCCTTGTTGAAATAGGAATTTCCTAGGAGGGAGCAATACACCTCCATTAACATGAAAAATGAGGAAATCATTTCCTGAGTGTAGGTTTGGAACAGAAAGGTTAGCTGACTGAATGAATGGTCATTTGGCTATCATAGGTAGAGAAAAGGAACATGATGTCCCATGTATCAAAATGGCACAGAATGGAGAGTGAGTGGACTAAAGATATACTCCAGAAATTACATAACTTCTCACTCTTCATTATGTAACTGAATTTACTGCTTGGATTCCTTATGAGCCTAAGTGAATAATAAAAGTTATATACAATTATGTGCCCTAAATTTTGGCACACACTGCTGTTTTATGAAGACTGACTCACAGTGGCCAGGTACTTTCTTCAATGGCCTGTCATGTGTGAACACTAGTTAGAAAGGTTTTTTCCAACATTACAAATATGAGGTAAGTTACTGGGCAGTGGAACTTGTCTAGTCTGAGCCATATTCTCAAGTAGTACCTCAAATGGTTCATTTTTGTTTACTTCATGAGGACTCCTATAACTAGTGCAGGCTCCAAGCTGACGGAGATTTCTCTACTTCTTGAAGATAATTACACTTCTGGATTCCAGTGAGAGTCTCTGGCATCTTTCATAATCATCAGTTTGAATGGAACATTAAGGAACAGTCTTTGGGAATTACTTATCCCCATGATAGTTCCCAATGCTTTTGAACTGTTGAAAGCTCAGAAACTCATTGTAAGAACATGCATAATATGGTAATTTGTCATATATCTTTTTATTTTTTTGTATTTATACAACACAAATAAAAAATGTTACTGTTGAGATTGTCCCTTTGTCTCTCTAATTTAATACCTCTCAGGATATGATCTATACATATTTTAAAGCACATTTGTAACTAAGCATACATTTTTCATATTGTTTAGTTATTACATGAATTGCATCCATGATAACATTTTAAGACTCTCTCTCTCTCTCTCCCTGAATTTAAAGAGAGAATATAATTTACACCATCATGGAAAATACTAGGGGGCATTTTTGGGGGGCCACGCCTCATGCCTCTTCACTTACAGCTTACTTACAGCTGATTTCAAGCCATGATCTCTGATCTCAGCCTACTAAGTGTTTTGGATTACAGCCTAGGTATGAGCCACCAGCACCTGACTGTTACCTACTTTTACAAGTCTATATTCATTGAAGATAAAATATCAAAGAGAAACACACAAATAGAGGAAATGCACACTTTATGTCTAACAGATTGTACCTGTATTTTTAATCCTGTAAAACAAGAGATGTGAATATCAGAATGACTGGGAAGATTTGATCCAGTCACATAATCTGGTCCAATAATTCCTGCGAGTGGTTCTTCTTTCAGTCTCTTCAGCAAAGTTGCATAAACTGTTCTTTGAGAATCAGAAGGAGGTGTGTATGAAGAATCTTCTGATCTATATTTTCAACAGATGTTAAAATTTCATTTTTGTAGAATCAAGAATGGAGACTGATTAGAAATAGACTAATGATTACTAAGTTTTCCTTTATAGATGGAGGCAAATTAAGTTGAGACCAAAGAGATAGAAACACAAAGACCTTAAAAAAAGGCCTTTTAAGGAGCATCATCATTACTGAATACACGCTAACAAATCAGCATTTATTATTTTGCTAAAACTGAAAAAGTGACACTCTGCCAATGATTTTGTTGATAGTAGTAAATTCCTCTACAGTTCAATTGTTATGCCAAATTCACTCACTGGTTGCTGAACTGTGTGCAAGCTCTCCATGCATCCAGTTCTTCAGAAAGATGCTCAAGTTTTAAAGGTACTGACACCACTCGACGTTTTAAGAGCTGACTGAAATGTAAAAAAAGATATTAACATCTGACATAAAAAATGCAAAAAGCAAATGGATCTTAAATAATTGTGGCTTTTGATGTGACAATGATTGTTCAAAATACATATGTAAATATAACTATATGGGCACAAGCCCATATACACATATGCTCCCTTACTTACTTAGAATTTAGGTCCCTGGAAAGCCTCCCATGCTTAAGGAACACTGGTTTGACGAGTGACTGAGTATGTAAGTAAATGAGCTGTAAAATGTATGGAGAATGGTTGACAAGCCCAGAAACATTGAGTAATGACCACAGTGAGTGAGAACATTTAAACATGACCCTGATCATTGAATCTTTGATGGCACAGATAATGGCACCATTAAAAGAAGAAAAGTGCAGGAAAAAGAGATGTGAGAGGAAAGATGATTTTAATTTTGAGAAGACTGAATTAAGGTCAGGGTTTAGCCAACTGCTATATAAACATAGATGATATGTTATATCTAGATATAAAATGGAGTTATTTTTCACAGAGGGAATAGGAAAAACAAAAATATCTGTTTCTGGAAGAAAAAAGAGAGGGAAGAGAAGTGGAATAGAGACATGGGGGAAAAGGGGGGGAGGGAGACAGGAAGGAAAAGGAAGAATTGTCATTATCGAAAAGTTCTTTAAGTTCTTAACCTTTTATTTCTTTATGTTTCCTTCAACTTAAGATGCACTGTCGTGACTCCCTCCTACCTTTCAAGTAAGAGTCAATTGTTTTATTCTCCTTATTAATTGAAGCAACCATTTTCTAATTACTTTTATCATTACTGATTACAAATAGCTAGACATATATCTTTCATATTATTCTTACATATTATTCTTGCATTTTAAGATTGTTGAAAGTTGCTTTTCAATTTTGATTGCACTGTTAACCAGCATAGATATAAATTTTCCCTGAATAACCTGAAAGTGGTAATTCTATATTATTGTTTCAGCTCTATTAGCTAGCAGCTATTTTTTCACCAGAGGGAAAAGTTAGAGATGATAAAGTTTGAACAAGTTTAGGGAACCAAAATACACTGTTGGTGGGAATATAAACTTGTTCAACTACTCTGTAAAGCAGTTTGGAGGTTCCTCAAAAGATTGAACATAGGCCCATATGAGCCAGCAATTCTACTTCTGGACATTTATCCAAAACATGACAAAGCAGGATTCAATAAAGTCATCAATACAACTAACACCGCAGCACAATTCATCATAGACAAGGTATGGGATCAGCCAAATGGCCCTAAATGGATGAATGGATCAAGGAAATGTGGTATATATACACACAATGAAATTTTACTCATACATTAGAAATAATAATAATATATCATTTGCAAAGAAATGGAAAGTACTTTAATACAGTCATGTTATGGGAGGTAAGTCTTCCCCAGAGAGAAAAAGGTTGCATATTTTCCCCCATATATGGAAGGTAGAATTAGTTTACAAACATTAATTGTTACATTTGGTGGTATGCAAGTGTCTACAAATCTTTGAACTGAAATATGGTAGATTCAAGGGGGAACTCAAACAGAAGAGTTCCTTAGAAAGGCAAAGTCAAAGTTAACAAAGTTAAACACCAGGAGACAGGTACTTGAAAGGGATAGAATGGGGTGAAGGGGAGAGAGAATTAGAGGAAAAGGGTAGAAGAATGCAAAAATCCCATGTATAGTCTACACAATTCAGAAGAGAGGGAAGGAGTGGGTTTGGAGGTATGGATGAGAATGTTGAAAGGTGTGACATTGATCAAGGCATATTACTACTTTAAATGCCAACTCCTTTCTGCAATTACTTAAAGATTATAAAATAGTTTTTTTAAAGGAAGCTTTCTATTCCTCTTGTAATCTTCTGCCTCCAATAAAAACCACTCGGAAAATATGCTTATGCCCACACTCAGCATCAGGAAATTATAAGGTCATTTACTATGCTGTTTAGTAAACTAGCTGACTTGGAAATGGGTTTTTAAGGAAGATGCTGCATTTATTATTCTTCACTTTCTGTGACAGGGTCTCACTATGAAACCTGGGTTGATTTTAAACCTACTGGGTAGCCCAGGCTGGTCTTAAACTCAACATCCTTCTGTGTCAGTCTTGAATATTACTTTTGAGAACAACATATATTAAGCATAGTGGCTGAAATTCAGCAAGCTGTTAGAAAATGTAGGAAACTACTGAAACACTTAAGTCTTGAGTATAAAAGATACCTGCTGGTCACATATACCTTTTATTTTCTACTTTTCCACCATAGTGACTGGAAAGTAAACAAAATGTCCATCTTATTTTGAAGGTAACATTACACAATTATGTCCACTGAAATGCAGGCATGAATACCTAAGGAGGAATTTCCTTCCTGAATAAAATAGTCTTGTCTGCAGAAAGTGGTTTGCAGTCTCTATCCTTCACCCTTGCCTCTATCCTGCTTGGAGAATGCATATAATATTTGGAGATTTAGTAGCTATCTTTTAATCATGAAGAAAGAATCCAAGAATATCAGGGTAAAAAGTAGGAAGAATCTAGGACTTTAAAAGAATCAATGAACAGTTTCAACAGTGCTAGAATACCTATCTGAAATTTCCTCACATATATGACCAATATATCCATGTACATAAGCTAATATTAGAATTTTCATCATTTATGACCTAAAGTCATCTTAATTAATATAATTAAATTTTCCTTATTGCAATTATACATGAAACAAATAATACTATAGTGATGTATTTATTGCCTTCTGATTCAATTGAAGGCTATCATCTTGGCAAAACAAATTTCTCTAATTTCATGATAGAAGTATTCTTTTTACCTTGTGTATTCATAAAGTGCTGGAACAATGCTTTGGTACTGTCTCCTGATAGCCAATAATGCACCAATATAACCACATAGTATTAATAACTCATTTCGAGCTCTAAAAGAGAATACGCATATATTTTAGCTCTACAATTTGGAGTAAACATATTCTTCTTGTATATAGTTCATGTACTTTTTAGACATTTGTGCTACATTATATATTTTAATGGAAAATAAAGCTATTAAGTAGGATTTAACACTTCCTTGCTTGTTTTTCACTACTCCTGATTGTCTTTGTTGGTTTTCATTTTTTGGGGGGGCGCTGCTATTCTAGGACTTGAACCCAGTTTCTCATACAAACTAAGCAAATATTTCTCTATTGTTGACTCATACCCCCAGTCATCTTCTGACTTTTTATGTTATTTATCTTTAACTTACTCCTTTTGTCAGATTTAAGAATTCATAGCAAATTGTGTAAACTGTAGGAAATGACAAAAAATTATCTACTCTATTGTATGTTGAAAGTATTTTCCAGGTTTCCAGGCTGTTGTCTTATAATTTTTATGTATTGAAACAAAAATAAAAATCCTGAATATCTTCTTACAAAATATATCCACATCTCCTGAGCTTTTGTTACATGAACAGCAATGTCTTTAAGTGGTATTGTGTGTGTGTGTGTGTGTGTGTGTACACACGCGTACTGGTACTGGTACTGAATGTAGGCCTTGCAAAAACTTCTTGCTAGGTATTTTCAATTATCCACCCTCGAGATGCACCTCCAGTCAAGCTTTCTTTTGGGCTAATTGTAGATGGAGTAGCTTTGAACTGCCATCCTCCAGGTTTAGCCTCCTGAGTAGTTAAGATTACGGTGTGAGCCATCAGTACTAGGGTGGTACTTAAGAACAATACTCATTTCTACTTTCTATCCTGTGTATTTCCCTCCATCATATCATAAATATGATATTTATTTCTTGAGAATTTGATATCTTCAACCATCTAGAAACTGATGAATTAGCCTTTGTAAATTCAGGTGTGTATGTGTGTTCAAGTGTCTATACACAAATATATAAGCTCACGTACTAAATATTACTGAATAACACTGCAAATATTTACTATACATTTCTAGCTGACTTCTGCATTTTTATTAAGAATGTTACAAAAAGTCAAATGTAATTATTCTTCAAGTGTAACCACTGCCCCAAACAATACTCTTTCTTTATCTCAGTACCGTTGTAAAACATTACATTGACTCAAAAAGTACTCACTCGGTACATGCATGCATGATTAACTTTTCAGTACGAATATAACTCAATAGGTCAAGTGCAGGGTAGATGCTGTCCAACGTCCAATCTGAACTACTGATGTATTCTGGCAAAATAAGATCAAGTCAAAGATGCTTCAAAATAATGGTTGCAAAACTTGTTCCTCCAATTATTGTGTTCTACAGTTCTGCCACTCTATCCTGTCTCTATACAGTATTTTCTATTCACTGTCTCTCAATTCCCCATGACATAAAATCAGGAGGGATGCCATATTTTCATATCAGTAATCTCTTGAAAATCTAGGAAGGCAAGTACTAATTATACAAATGAGTGAACAGACCAAATAGATGTGAACTTTTTAAAATTATACTACCAGCTAGAAACTTACCTTTGACAAAGTCAAGACCAATAGGAAGAGCTTTCTCAGGCTCTTGACTTAGTAGGTAATACTTTATAGTTTCAAATACATTGCCATCTGCATGGGCTGCCTCAGCTAATTGCAGACATTCCTCTACTGTGGGTAGCTTGCACTAGAAAATAATTGATTTAATAGCAATGTTAGTAAGATATATTGGGACAAAAGCAGTTGAATAAATATTAAACATTGCCATATACCCAGTTTCTTTCACTTTGTTAGAGTTTCCCAGAATCTGCTGAATTAGTTATTTTTAGAATAAATATACAGACAAAAGCTACATCAGCATTCATGGTAAATCTGACAGTTCAGCATCACATGTCTTCTACGTTGTAAGTTCACCTAGCCTCCAGGCCAAGGCACCTTAATTCAAGGAGGCTAGAACTGTCAGGCTCTAAAATTGAACACCTTTTGGCTCATGAAATTTCATTATTACAGTATGAAAATAAATGTATATTAATTTTTTCTGTAAAAAAGAAAGTATAAACAAAGCCAGGTACTGGTGGCTTGCACTGTAATCCTAGTTTCTGAGGAGGATCTGAGGATTATAGTGCAAAGCTAGCCTGGGCAGAAAAGTTCCTGACACTCTTACTTTCATTCTCAAATAGAATAGGAGAAATTCTTTTCCTGTGTTAGAATCCCCAAAGTTATTTATACTAACATCATTTTTGTACATTGTGAAACTGTACAATCATTAACATGTTTGCAAATATTCATTCATCTTTCCAAAGAGCTCCACATTTAAGAAGAAATTGATCATATGTTTTTCAGAATATATAATGAAGACAAGGTGAATACTGTTCTTGCCCAGGTTTTTGGGATGGGTCTATGGTAAAATGTTATAGAAGGATGAAGTTCTGAATATATTTTAGCTGCATGGAAATATAATGATAATTAAGAGCATATATTTCAATATAGATCAAAGACTTAAGTGATCTTGCCACAAAGGAATGATAAGTATTTCAAGAAATAGGTATATAATATCTCTGGCTTGATTTTTCTACCATTAATGGGTATAAGAAAGTATCACTTTTACTCTATAGTTATATACAACTATTATTTGCCAAGTACAAATAAAATAATATGCCATGTGTTGGTGGCTAACGCCTATAATACTAGCTATTCAGGAAGCTGAGATTTGAGGATTGCAGTTTGAAGTCAACCCAAGCAGATAAATCCGTGAATCTCATATCTCCAATTAAACCAGCAAAAAGCCAGAATTGGAGCCAGCTTTGAGTGCAAATGTCAACATGAGCACAAAGCCCTGTTCAATCCACTATACCATTAAGACAAATAAATAATACTAATTCCATATAGATTTATGTTGTTATTTAGCCTCTACAAGTGTTCACTTTAACATCCTTATTCTTTGCTTGAGGGAACATATTAGCATACAAACACTTCAGAATAATTGTACAATACAAAAAAAGCCTCCTACCTCTTTCTATATCCACTGTAGTTTCAATGTAAGATTTGCAATTATGTTTACAAACCAATTTTGTAACATAGGTATATAAAGGAATTAAAATCTCTCTTACTCTTAGATTCTACTGGTTAGATTAACTTTGGACACTTATCCTATCTCAAGTACATTCCCTTATTTTACACACACATATACACACATACACATACAGACCTATCCAGATACTTTACCTGCATACACTTTTTATCTATATATATGAATACAATATTCAATAAGTGTATACTGTTCAATGAATAGGGCCACTCACCTACAGAGGAAAGATCTACATATAATTTTTCTTATAGGCATTTTAATAGCTATACTACAAAAACTGTGTTCATTCATGGTAATTTTAAAATGAGATTATACATGCATGGGTAGTTTTTAAAACTTTCTATTTTATGGCCATTTACTCTTATCCATAGAAGCAGTCTTGTGATATTTTTTAGGAACTAGTAGCATAAAAGTATAGGAATATGCTAGAAGTTTTATAAACTATCTTCCTACTGTTAGACATTTTTATTTTTATATATAATGTTAATATATAGGTTACTATATTTTATAAAGGCATGGTTTTTAATAACTTTAGAATAATGTACAAGGTTTGCATTGCGTCGTGAATGTTTTTCAAAATCTAACGTCATCTGTTTTGAAAAGCTATTATATGCCTCCACTCAGATGCAAGCATCTGGGACATAAGAGACTTACTAAAATTTTACTCCACCTTTAAATCATTTGAGCAAGTTTGTTTCTTCTACGAGTTTGTATTCTTTGTAAAGCAAAATGTAAAAACCTTATTTTTCATGCTTCTATAGATTTATGAATTGATTAATTTAAAATATTTGTAAAACCTTAGAAAAAAGACAAATAAATGTTTCTTCTTAATGATATCATTCTTGCTGAATTTTTAAGTAAGCCAAAGGGACCACATATTTGTATTTTTCTGCACATTTATGTTTTTTCTTGAATATAAAATTAATTATCTCATGACACTGTATTACAAACTGATCTGTACTATCATTGCCTACCTTTTTATGGAGGTCATTTATTTCTTCAGTACACCCTGGGTAGAAAGCACAGAGTTTTACTAAATGCAGTTCACTGTCAGGAATCATTAGGAGGAGATCAGCTGCCAAATTCCTGTTCATATAGTAAAAAGAGAAACTTTAATGAGGAAATACTCTAAAAATAACATAATTTTCAAAAAAAGGCTTACACATGTTAAAGTACTAAACATTAAAATATCTACAGATACTTTTTGTATAAACCTCTCAAATCACTGGTTTTAGATTGTTTCATGATAACTGGGAAAAAAACGCACAATTTTCAGTGATTCAAGCTATTGTTTGGTTTTCAAGAATTTCATATATTAATAGTCAGCCTGAGTTTAGAGTAGGTGATATTTCAAGTGAGAATTTATAAGGCTGTGAATGAGGGACTCTAGAAAAGGAAGCTCTTCAGCTTGCTTGTGAAGACAAAGTAAAAATCATGTTAGTCATTAATGTGAATAAATCATTTTATTTTAATGTGAGAAAGGCTTAAGAATATAAAGACAACCATTAGGTGTAGTTTGAACTTCTGGTATAAATCCAAAATTAAAAGAAAGACATACACATCAAACTCCTAAAATAGTAATATTTTAAATTAGGCTTATGTTACGATTTTTAGAATAAAATGTGAGCTATCACATTAGAAATATTAGTATTGGCCAGGTAAATCCTTGTTTAATAAGACATATAGAGTAGTTTACTTGTTCTTTCTAAAAACTGTGAAAAATAGAATGTATTTTGTAATACCAAAATCTTTTTTTTTTTTTTTTGGTTGTGGGGCTTCAACTCTGGGCATGGGTGCCATCCCTCAACTAGTGCCACTTCTGGTTTCTGGTGGTTAATTGGAGATAAGAGTCTCACAGACTATCCTGCCCAGGCTGGTTTTGAACTGTGATGCTCAGATCTCAGCCTCCTGAGTAGCTAGGACCAGGCATGAGCCTCCAGTGCCTGGCTAATACCAAAACCTTTTTTTTTTTTATTGTGAAAATACTGTACACAGGGGTTACAATTACACGGGCAAAATAATGAGTACATTTCTTATAGCCTCCTCCTTTGTTTCCCCTTTCCATCCCTTCCCATTCTCCCCCCGTCCTCCCCATCTAATCCCCCCCCCACCAAAGTTGTAAAGTTTGTTCTCTTTTTCTTTGTTTTTGTTTGTTTGTTTTTGGGTCCAGTTGTGGGGCCTGAACTCTGGGCCTGGGCGCTGTCCCTCAGCT